TTGCTATGCGTGCTTTTTGGCATGAGAACCATGGTTTTCTCTAAATCTGAGAATTCGTGGCCTTCATGAATTCTGGAAAATTCTCAGCCATACTGACAGAAGTGGAACCTCTACCATTCACTCCTCACTTAAGAGGTGTTAGTTAGGTCCATCTTCCGTCTGCAACTACAGACCGTGTTTAAGCTTATAGTTATTACCTAGCTCAAACCCCAGTTTTTAGAGGCACATAGCTATTGAAACTCTTTTAAATTTAGATAGGTGTTTAAATAAACCACCAATGCCCTGTTGCTAATTAGTGGAATATTGAAAACTACTAACCTGAAGTAAACACATTTTCTAATTTCTGCTGAGTCCATGTCCTTTCTTTGTAATTGCTCTCTCAACTCTGAATGCCTGCTATTATATAGGGTGTCTCAAAAATGTATACACATTTGAATGATTATAAAGTCAGTGTGTATTAACATATGGTTCATTTTCAAAATTTAAAAGGATCTACAGAAATGAAGACATTTTTTAAATCAATGACTGTTTCCAAAGTGATGATGGTTCTGATCCAGGCACTGCTGACAATGTGAAGCAATGGGACCACAAACATCAATATCATTTCATTCGGTATTTGTGTGCCCTCAATTTGTCAACTGTTGCCAGTTTTGTGCCATAAACTTTATTTTTTATGTATCCTCATTTAAAAAAAAAACTTTATTTTTTATGTATCCTCATTTAAAAAAAAAAAAGGCTAGTGGATAAATTTTCTTTGTTCAAAGCTTAGTCTGGCTTCACTCATTACTTCAAATCAGTTAAAAGAAGTGAAAATTAAGTGAGTTATCAGCTGTTAAAGTGTATGTACATTTAGGGGGGCACAGGGTGTATACAAAATGTATACACATTTTCAATAATTACAAAGGTACTGTTTGTAATTCATCTGCAGTTTCAAATTTCCAGTAGCATTTTCCTTTGTTCAAAGCTTAGTCTGGCTGAAAAAAGAAAAGAAAAGAAAGAAACATCAATTGAGCTATCAGCTGTTAAAGTGTGTATACATGTTTTGGGGACACCCTGTATTTGTACAATATTACCTCTTCCTCTTTAATTAAGCGAGTTGACACAGAGATGAACACCTTGCCCAAGCTGAATTCCCTTTCTTAGAATTTAGAATGAGCACATGTGAGACTGAGTCACTTTATAGATGGAAAGAAGAGAAAGAAACCAAAACAAATGAAGACAAGATCTTTTGAAGGAAGGGCACTAATGCAAGGACCAGAAAGTCAAACTGGTAACATCCCCAGAATGGACACTAGACTTGAATCCCCCCCAAGACAACTCAATTTGCTTACGATAGGTGGAGTGGGGATGAATCAAAACATCAGCATCCCCATAGCACATAAATCCTCAGCCTTAGAGCCTGACAATGAGAGAGAAATAAAATAAATTTAGAAGAGTAGGTTTGTCATAAAATAGAATGTGCTCACTTATTATTAGAATTCTAAATTCAGTGTCATAGATTTTGTTTTTAAGATATAGCCTAATACTTGTAGTTACAAATGGGCATAAGATAGTTAAAATTTCCCCCCAGAAGTCACCGGAAGGACAGAATTACCCACTCTCCTTTTGCCTCCTTTAGATAACAAGTGGTCATTGGCCTGCAGTGCTACTGAGGGCACTTCTGGCCCCCAGGTTGATTTGTTCAGTGACCACAGGAATGGCTTCACTTCCTGTTTTTCAAACACAATAATTGGGAATAGTAATTTCACTTTTTAAATGAGCAAGAGTTTTAAGAATGTGTTGGAAAGACAATTTGAGGTCTCAAATGATGGAAAGGAACCAGAGGGGTCAAACTGTGAGTCCTGGAAGAAAAAGGAAGGCTGCTATTCTTAAAGGTTGAGGAATGTTTGCCTCTGCTTCTCAGAGGTGTTGTTGAAATTGCAGAAAGGAGTGCCCACAAGTTATTGTCAATTCCTGATTACTTCACCAATGACAAGAGCAGTTCGGCTGAGTCAGGCACACTTGATGTTGCATCTAGAGTTGGAGTTAAGAGCACTTAGTTTACATATGCAAGCAAAACTCATATGAAATTGATATGCTCCCAACTGCAGGTGAGCATTATATGCCAGGACCATAATAAGGAGTAAGGAGAAATCAAAGAAAAGACCTGGCATAAAGTACTGATACCCCCAAATAATTCTCTTACAGACAATGACAGTGAGTGCATGCGCACACCTAATTCCATCCCTTCACATCAGTTCCATCATTCTCATTAGTGGTTATGCACAAAAGAAAAGTCACTTACATAATTGTTTTGCTTCCTTCTAAAGAAAAACTGTAAGAAGTTTAATTCCTTCTATCTTAAGAAACTAATAAATAATATTTATTCATACACAATACACAGTATTAGTTCTATAAATTATCCTTTAGTCCCAAGTATGGTCCATTTTGAGAGAAAAGGAAGTGGGAAAAGACAATAAAAGAGAAACTGATAAATAGAAAAGGAATAAAGAGGAGAAAGGGAGACAGGCATGAGAGAGGAGAAGAGTAAACAAAAGGAGTCAGATATACCAATAAAAATAAGAGAAACGAATGTAATGACTACTGGGAAAAACTGAAGTAATTATAAATACTTCTCCCTTCCATTCCCTTTGCTTTCTCTTTATTGAATTTGTAATGACCATTTCAGTTAAATGTTGACAATGGGAACATGTAAACATTTGAATTTTTTATAATGCTTTAATTTTTAAAGAATTGTTAAGATGTCATTATCTGGAAATTTTCAAATTCTAATAAGGTATCATTTAACAAAATATGATAACTTTCCTTCTTGCATCATTTTGAAAGGCATCATGAAACAATAATTGGAACAAGTAAAATAGAAAGAGATGGAGGAAAGCCTTATTCCTTTTTCCACTTTGAAAGTTCCTGTATCTTCTTCACCAGAAAATGAATTCTGAGCTTGTCTTCAATGGCATGTCAATTGTCTCTCTGAAACAATGGAAGAAAAAAGATACTGTTTCCCAATGCCTATTAGTTAAAATACAGTGTGTGTGTGTGTGTGTGTGTGTGTGTGTGTGTGAATGTATGTGGGATTTTTGTTGTTTGGTTGTTGTTTGTTTGCTTTCTCTTTATCTCTTTCTTTTATTTTTTTTAGTTTCTGGCATAAGAGTTAAAGAAGCCCTCTCACAGATCCTAACTGCTCACCTGCCTGCCTACCTGATTGCCCCTCACCACTCCACCTGCCGGCATGCTTGCCCCCAAATGACTCCCTGCCAGCATGCTTGTCTCCAACTGCACCCCCCTGCTGGCCTGCTTGCCCCCACCTGCCCCCCCACTGGCCTGCTTGCCCTCAACTGCCCCCCTGCAGCTTGCTTACCCCAAACTTCCCCCTTGCTGTCCTGATAACCCCCAACTGACTCCCACTGATGGCCCTCTCACTATCAACTGGCCTCCCCACCAGCCTGATCACCTACAACTGCCCTCCTCTCTTGGCCTCTAACCACCTCTACCTCAGACCTGACACCATGGCTTTTTCCGGAAGAATGTCTGGAAGGTCTCCCAGTCTAATTAGTATATTACCCTTTTATTAGTATAGATAGAGGCCTGGTGTGTGGGTGGGGGTTGGCTGGTTTGCCCCGAAAGGTGTCCTGAATTAGTATGGGGGTTCCCCTGGGGCCTGAGGTAGCCTGGGAGAGGGGCTGATGGCTGTTTGCAGACTGGTCATGCCCCTCAGCAGGGACTCTTATTCCATGGGGGCATAGCCAGCCTGGGTAAGGGGCTATGGGCCATTACATCCTTTAGGTGGGGAGTCCCACTGGGGTGTCTGGCCAGCCTGGGTGAGGGGCTGAGGGCTGTTTTCAGGCTGGCCATGCCCCCTGGTGACAGTCTCCCAGCCACTCCTTCAGCAGGGTCCAGAGCGGCTGGGAAGCTTATCTTCCTCTATTGCCAGGGCTAGCCCAAGCCTCCTGCTTGCTCCAGCTCCATGGCCACCACCATCTTTATTGGGTTAATTTGCATACTCACTCCTGATTGGCTGGTGGGTGGAGTGGAGTGATGGTCAATTTGCATGTTTCTCTTTTATTAGTGTAGATATTTCATTAAATAATCATATCTGCTGTGTCTAAAACAAAAAATTTGAATCACACCTGAAAAATATTTTCTATGAAATAGAAAAGCAGTATTCCTTAAAATAGAAGAGTAATACCATTTGAAGCATAAGTAGAAAAAAGTAGAAAAAGAGAAAGGTACAGAATAGCTATAGATCAAAGGAAAAAAATTCCAACCACCATAAAACAGTTAAGTTATAGCTTAGAGGTACCTAAATAAATTAAGAACCTTCACCCTGAGAATAATAAGACTCCCTCTCAGGAAAGAAAGGCATTACCATTCTATCCCCCAAATAAAGAGATAAAAGAAACAAGTTATTATAATAAGTTTAGCTGAGTCATACCTATAACAGAGGATATAATTATTGAATTAACAGCCTGAAAGAAATGGAATAGTCCGTCTTAATACAAAAAGGGTATACACATATTTCAATCTGTATGGGAGGAGAAAATGCCAGGAATTTTTAAAAAAGAAAGATGGTAATACAAGTTACATGAGTTTTCTGTAGGACATTTTATTTTTACAACCATAACCCTGCAAACTATGGTAATAATTAAGGACATAATCATTTAATTTGGAAACTGACTATTGAAATGGTTTAGTTTTATAAGAAAAAAAAGAAATGTTCCTGGAAACTTTTGCTATTTCAATATTTTTTTTAAGAGCCAGACAAATTACCTTCTAGCTAGAAACAGCTGTGTAAAATTCAGATGTTGAAATATCAAACTGGAAATGCTTGAATTGATAAATTCTAGCCCTTACAAGTAGGCTGAGGAAAATTTCAAACATAGCCATAAGGTAAAAATCCATTATTGGCATAGAAATAGCCTGAGCATTCCCATCTCAAATTGCTCTAACTCTTTGTTATACCCTTTACCAAATAATTTATCCCATGATGAGAAAATGTTTACTTTCTGATCTGAAATAAGAGGGCGAATAGGTTTTTCCACCCACAAGTCTCTAAAAAATAAGACAAGAAAGAAAAAATAATAAGAAAAAAATATTGATTTCTAATAGATACAGTTCATTATAAGAGTGATCTGGTCACATATGTTCATAGACAAGTCATTTTAAAACTTCATGTCATCAAAGAAAAAAACACAACAAAATCTCATGCCATCATCTCACCTCTCTTTTGTGTAAACAAATATCCTTTCAGGATTTAGAGACACTTGAGCCTCTATTTCTATAGCAAATGCTCACAAGTGGGAATAGCTCCTAAAAATATCTAAGGATGTGTGCCCACTGAGAAATAAGATATTTTCTGAATATCTAGACTTGACATTGAGTGAGTGATGCATATATATTTTTTCTTGCCATTATTTCCAGATTCCATCAGAGACCTATTGACTGCTTTCTAATAGATTCAAAAGTGAAGGTGACCTGAAAAACAGGCCCAATTCAGCTGCAATGCTCAGTCATCAAGAAGGGGAACCAACACCTGCAGCTTTGACTTGGCCTTTGTGTAAGAAACTCACAAAAATAAGACATATTTCAGTACTGAGCCTCCATGAAAGGAATCCCTGTAGTGCTGGCAAGCTTGGGAATTAGGAAAAAGGTGGGAAAATTGAAGTAACAAAATATTGGCATTCAGTATTATACCAAGTATAACTGAAGTTAACCAAAATCTAGACCCCGAATAACAAACATGATACTCATTGAAAGAAATAAACAAAAGACAAATATCCTCCAGTGTAAAATGATAGCACAGAAAAATTGTTCTGATTCACCAAGCTTCCTAATCCTTTTAATATTCATAATTATTCTGGTTCTTGCCTAAGCATTAAATGTGCTTATTAAATTACTCTCTGACAAGCCTCACAAAAGGAAGCCTTAGTGATTAGATTTGTTTTTATGCCCTAACATTCCCCAAAAGTTTTGTTTAAAGAACTAAAAATCTACTGTCCAGGCTAGTCTTTTGGCTTAAATTCTTCTAAGATTTGTTAATTTACCAAAGTGAAATGAATGGGTTCTTTCTTTCTTTCTTCCTTCCTTCCTTCCTTCCTTCCTTCCTTCCTTCCTTCCTTCCTTCCTTCCTTCCTCTTTCTTTTTTTCTTTCTTTCTTTCTTTCATTCTATCTTTCTCTAGTTTTTCTTTTTAAACATAGGAACAATAATATGGTACTGATAATTTGCCATAACAGGGTTATGGTTAATGTCTGTAGACATTAGCTTGTGGAGAGTCTTCTGAACAAATATAAGGAGCCATTTTATATTGGAAATATTGGTGTAGAATATTGTAGTAATAGCTTTGTGGTGCTTAACAGAGCTGAAAGTCATAATTACAAATACACTCCAGCCCTCAGGATTCCTTATTATTGCCCACAATCCTTTCTACTTTCCAAGACCAAAAACACAATGATCTATTCAGTTTTTTTTTCCCATTTGACCCTAGATAACTAACGAATATTCTGTTGAAACCCTCCTCTGAGACATCCCCTAAGATTCATGCCTACAGAAAGAAATAATAAGCCTCAAGACAAAGGACCCAGCCTTGCTCTCCCTCTGAGGAGCAGCCTGTACGCCATTCCCTTCCCCTTCTTCTTACCCCATTCCTCCCATAAGCATGTATCTCCTAAACTCTTGCAACCAAGGGAGCAATGGGCAGTGGCAGCTTCTCCCAAGCTAACCCTGACCCTTTTCCCAAGGCCCACTTTTCTCTTATTTCTCAGAGAGCAAAGGCGACCCAGCCTAGGCTCTCCTATTGCTTCTTCTATGCTAAGCCCTTTCTTGTTTTACTATCCCCAGCTTTAAAAAAAAAAAAAAAAATGTTCCCTCAGAGTCACCTAAACTCCTGCTGTGAAATTTCTTCTGCATGAAGAACCCACACACTACTGGTCAGTCCTAGGCAGACCCTCTAAGGGCCAAGCCCCCTTTCTGGTAACATCACTACTCAGCACCACTGAGTTTTGAGAGCATTGTTATGGCATAGCTCACTAGTAGAGATGGTGTTTCCTTAAAGAATATGCACCATTTGCTAAAGTACTGTATTAGTTATCAAAGCAGACCATCCTATATAATAAAAGGATAATATGCAAATTAACCAAATGGTGAAATGGCCAGTCCTATGATGCACACTGACCAAGGGGCAGACACTCAACATAGGAGCTGTTCCCTGGTGTCAGCGCGCTCCCACAGGGTTAACTGCTGGCAAGTGCAGCAGCAGCAGTGGTGGGAGCCTCTCCTGCCTCCACTGCAGGCAGGTGGTAAGGAGCGAGGGGTCATGGAAATCCTCCAAGGGGTCCCAACTGCTGCGAGAGGGCTCAGGCCAGGCTGAACGCCTCTACCCTCCCCCTCCCCGCCCCCACCAGTGCACAAATGTTGTGCATCTGGCCTCTAGTACTTTATAACTATTGAATGAATCAATTGTTTAATTGAACTCAGTAGATTACCTACTAATGTAAATGTATTATTTCTGTGATGTTTCTAGTGCTATATGATTAAAATTGAGGACAATTTTCTGAAACAAGATATTTTCCTCCTTAGGCAAAGTTTACCATGAAATGTAATGTTTGAAATTGTATTTAATGAGAAGGTTTCTCCCTTTTTCATTGTTGTTTAGGTCCCTTTGAATGCTTAGTGCTGGCATTTTGGGCAGAAACATCTGTAAACCAGAACCAAATTATTTTTCCTTAGGCAAAGGGCATAAGGAACTCTCCATGGGAGCATTATGTGAGCTGAAGGAGGAAAGGCAATGAGAATGATATCTAGCCATGGGAGTCTGGGAGCAGTTTCATAATTTGTATTTTTAACAAGTTCCCAATAGATGCAGACACCATGTAGATTGTGCCTGCAGATTTCAGATTAGATAAGTGGAAAGAAATTTAGCAACCTGAATCATTCAACTTGGTATGGGCATCAGTCATTTTTTAATTTTTTTACAGAGAAGGAAATGGAGGTAAGTGGTGTACTTTGTAAGTCAATTAAGTAACAGTTAAAAATTGAGACAGACACATGGATACAGAAAGCAGACTGACAGTTGTCATGAGGGAAGGTGGAGGTTGAGTGAAATGGATGAAAGGATTGAGCAAAGAATAAAAAAATAAAGATTCAGATAAGGACAACAGTATGGTGATTGCCAGAGGAAAGGGGCATATATCGATAATTGGTGATGTAAGTAGACTCAACTTGGGTTGGTAAACTCACATCATATACAGATGTTGTATTGTAGAATTGTATACCTAAAATCTATATAATTTTATTAACCAATGTTATCCCAATAAGTTCAATTAAAAAAAAAAATTTTACCTCTTCTCTCAGAGATGATATAAACTTTAAATGAGGTTCTGACTATAAAGTGCCTGGTATATGAAAGCACTCAATAATGTTATAATTATTATTACTATGATTACTATTTCAGTTTTCTTTTAATTAATTTTAAAACTCTTCCAACATAGCAGTTATCACCTCAGTACCTTTGTATATTATGTAACCACTTGGGTCTGAGTTTATTTATCTGTAAAATGATTGGAATAAATGATCTTTAATATTTTAATCTAGATCTAAAAAATCTCTAGTTTTTTGTGCATTTTTGATGTTGTTGTTGTTAATCCTCACCCAAGGACATTTTTCTGTTGATTTTTAGAGAGGCTGGAGGGGAGGGAGGGAGGGAGAGAGAGAAACAGAGAAACATTGCATTGATTATTTGCCTCCCATGCTTGCCCAGCCTAGAGGTGGGATCAAACCTGCAATCCAGGTATGTGCCCTTGACCAGGAATTGAACCCAAGACCCTTTGGTGTGCAGACTTCCTGGAAACATGAGCCAGAGCTAAAAATCTCTAGTTTTATATAACAGGAATCAATTACATCTGTCTGAATTAAGACTTTATACTCAGTGAATGTGCTACTCTTTCTGACCACAAAAACAACTCTGATGTCCTAACAATCTTGTTTCTTATTTGCCTTATCTAAATTTTTTATCCTGTGGAAAACTTTTTTTTAGGAAAAAATAGATTGAACTTCTGATCAGTTTTTGCTCCTATTTATGCCTGGGAACTTACAACTGAGGTACTATAAAGAGAAAAACACAAACAGGAAAGGTTGTATTTCTGTTCATAGGGTCACACTTTTCCCATTTGTGTTTTATTTTTCTGAGGCTTTCCTCAAGAACATCAAAACCCCATTAACAGAAGTGCTACAGAAAGGAAGCTGCTATTGTTTTAATAATACGGCTCTAATCATAATAACGTGACAAATTATTTATCATACCCTGAAGAGAGGAAATCTCAAGTTGTTCTAGGTTTAGAAACTGAAAGTAACTCATTAAGATCCACTGACTTCACGAAAGATCAGTGTCTAAAGTTCTTATTTATTAATTTCTTTAATTTATTAATTCTTTATTCATTAATGTTATCAGTATAATTTCACTTATATCATGAATAGTAACTTAATGATGAGAAAGCAAAATAGATCAGAAACAAAATGCATGATTGCTCAATGGAGAATTCACCACTGACAACCGGTGTTCTTCTGAAATGTTTTGACTGAGTCTTTGGCTGAAAGTTCTTTTTGCTGGGGAATGCGGTCTGTGTGCATTTTGCCTCTTACCTGTACAATAACCCCGCTCTTGCAACACCTGCACACGAAAATGCTCTGAGTTCTCCCATCTTAGGAAAATCAAAGCCTCTCTTGGTCCCACTGCCCTCTCTAGCCATTGTCCTTTTCTGCCTCCTTTTGCAGCAGTGCACCTCAAAGCCCTGGCTTATCCACTCCCTCCAGTTCTTGCTCCATCATGAGCAGACCTCGATCAAGGTCTCCTCCATTACAATAAAACTGCTACCTCCTGGGTCACCTTTAACTTCTATGTTGCCTAATTCAAAGGTCGGTTCTTGCTATCAGTTGATTGTCCCCCCTTTTGAAATACTTTCCCAATTTGACTTCCAGAATGCTTCCTGTCCTTCTAACTCAGTGGCTCTTCCCTCCTGATGTTATTTCCTGAATCCTCCTCATCTTCCTTACCTT